CAGCAAGCGTTAGAAGCAAGTGGCTATAATCATCAATTAAAATTTGACACAACAACTAAAGACCAGAGGAGTACAGAAGGGAGAGGAAGACACCGAAATATAACTTGGTATAACCCACCTTTTAGTAAGAACGTTGCCACTAACGTGGGAAAAAAATTTTTAGGCATCGTAAAAGAATCCTTTCCGCCAGGGCACTCACTAAGAAAGATTTTTAATAGGAACACTTTGAAAGTAAGCTATTCGTGCATGCCAAATTTAGAAAGAAAAATCGACGCCCACAATAAGTCCGCCCTCGCAAATAATTCCCAATCGCAAGAAAAATCATGCAATTGTAGAGACAAACACTCTTGCCCGTTACGTGGCAATTGCCTAATTCAAAATGTGGTCTACCAGGCCACAGTTGAAAGTCCCTTGGGAACCCAAACGTACGTCGGCCTTACTGCGAACCAATTGAAAACAAGATTTAGAAATCATACAGCTTCATTTAGACACGAGAACAAAAGGAACGCAACAGAGTTGAGCAAATATATCTGGTCCCTAAAGGATGCTGAAATGGAGTTTTTCGTGACCTGGAAAATAATGGCTCGCGCCAGGCCGTACTCGAATACAACAAAGAGATGCAATCTTTGCATAACTGAAAAATTCTTCATCATATGCAGAACAGGGGCGGGCACCCTAAACAAAAGGAACGAACTGGCGAGTGCGTGCCGGCACTCAACTAAATACTTGTTAAGGCATGCTTAAACCACCATCTTAAAAAATGATCGTTAGTCAACCAGTATCTTATCCACCTGACGAGGAAGGAGTTTATAACCCTCTCGAAACAGATCTGTAGTGCGCAGTTTTAATTTTTATTTTCCTATACAGTTGTTTATATATATATATATATATAACTATGTAAAACGACTTCGTTTCGGTAATATTACGCAGCTACGAAGGACTAGGTAATTATAATCCATCAAATATACTTGCTCGAATGTGATTGGTCTAAGCACATCACCGGGAACATTCAGTGTTAGTTTAAACCACACAAGTAAACACTACTTTTCGCACGTGCTTATTGGCTGTTTCTCGTTTGCCGATTTCTTTAGTAATGTCTTATTTGTAATTTTATCAAATCTGTTTGCTTCAATTGTTCACTTCCCTGCGATTCTTCAGTTCGTCTAGTTTTGCCTGGAAGTATATCAATGACCGTGTTTTGTTTGAACATGTACGAGTATTTTTGGCAGTCGTATCCCCTATTTCAAAACCTTATGTCCACTACGATAAAAGTCTCCGTTTAAAATTGAATTACAGATGAAAGAGCGTTTAACTGTTATTAAAGATGAACGGGCGTGTACGGTCATGCCAGAGAACCCTGAAAACTAAACTTCCCACCAAGCAAACGGTAAGCTGTTCGTAAACATCTTTACAGGATGATAAACACTATAACCTCCATTTGACGGTAAAATATGCTCGTAAAGTTGTCCCTGGAAATTATTTGATCCTCATAGGTCATGGTATAGTTCGAGCATCGCTCTCGGGAAACTTTCGGAACAAAAAATGTCCGCGGAGAAATATCTCAGGATATTTTCGTATACACCGTATTTCTCGTACATGGATCTCCAGGTTTGACGCACAAATATAGCGTAACAAAATGCTACGAAGAAACTTCATTACCTGTGCAGTTGTTTTCATTCCCGCTGAATCCAGGTTTACAAATACACCCGAATGATCCCTTTTCATTTTCACAAATGAAATTTTCAAGGCTGCAGTTGTGGGTATTTTCAGCACATTCGTCGATGTCTGAAATGAAATCAACACTCTCATATCCATCACCGTAACAAAGAGAACAAAGGGGACATGTACAGGAGTATATTTAATGTTCAAATAAGGAGAAAAAGAGGTATGCAGAAGTTTCCATACAGAAAAGTATATTCAAACCAACATTCAGCTGGTGCTGAGGGTCGTTAGGAAGCAAATACTAGAAACGAAGAACTTCGATTCTTAGACAAGATAAACCTGGCTTTTAAGTGAATACATAATTACATTAGCATTGGAAAGATCCCTCGGTGTTTGAACAAGTGGCGCTTTGCTGGCCGCAGTTGTGCTGTTTTTTCTTTTTCTTTTTAACATCTTCAATGCACTGTACTTCTGATCGTGGTAGTGATTATCCGAACTGCAAGGGGGGAGGAAGGAGGGACAAAGCTCCAATGTGTAATGCAACAACTCAGTTCGGTAACTGTTTGAGTAATCCAGTTTTTAAGGATTTAAGGTCACCATGCTTATATCTCCTTCGATGCGACAATGCTCAGTACCTGTACATTTGGCGTATATATATGTTTCATATGTTTGTTGTTACCTGTACATTTGTTGCCATCACCGCGGAATCCAGGTTTACAAATGCACTCAAATGAACCATCGATATTTTGGCAAATGGCATTTGTAACACACTTGACTGAAATGAAATCAATCGACTTCTGCTAAAATAAAATGCTAAAATACGGAGGTCGCAGGAAGGGGGAAGGGGAAATATAACTTGCGATGCTATTCGTGAATAAGACCCTGTAAAAAAAAAGGTTTCAATTCTCAGCCATGGATAGACTAGATCACGGAGGGTCGTGGGTTCAAAGCCCATCTGGAAACTCGATTTTTAAAAATTGGTTATTTCATCTGTATAAATTCTCAGCCAAAACTGGAAATTCGTCTTCCATTCTCTTACAGACCAGTCAGACTTAGTAGGTTGATACTGCTCTGCATATTTCTGTTTCCTCGATTTCAATTAGTTAATTTAGTTAGCAACATCACGCTCTAAGTCTTTTCATTATTACCTGTGCAGTCTCGTTCATCCTCGCTGAATCCAGGTTTATCGATGCAGATGAATGATCCCTCAGTATTGGTACAAGTGGAGTTTCCATGGGTACAGTTGTGGTTATTTTCAGCACATTCGTCAATGTCTGAAATGAGACCAATAGATCGTATCCATGATCTCAACAAGTAATTGAGATGGGAAGTGTAGGGGCTACAACTTTAGTCACATGGTAAGGAGAAAATACTGAAATGCTCTTGAAAATGTCTTAGCCTATCACTTCTACTTCGTAGGTGGAGCTCAAGCTTCTTTTAATTCCTTAAGCAAACGAGTGGGATAAGTGTTTAGCAAGAGATTATTTGTTATATCTTTTCTGATCAATTCCATTTGGTGACCTAATAAAGGGAACTTTTCTTGCTTACAGATAATGAGATCATCAGATCATCAGATCTTGAGATCATGGATACGATCTATGTTATAACAACATAATTTGGATATATCAACAAAGTTGAAATGGTAAATTGGCCACCGTAATGATTACAAAAGCTGACGTTTCGAGCGTTAGCCCTTCGACCGTTAGCCCTTCGCTCCGACGAAGGGCTAACGCTCGAAACTTCAGCTTTTGTAATCATTACGGTGGCCAATTTACCATTTCAACTTTGTTGATATATCCAAATTATTTCGTTACTCCCACCGACGCAGCCCTAAACAGTTTCTTTCGAAACTATCAGCCTTTATTCATTTGTTATAACAACAATCGATCGTAAAACCACTGAAGAGATAGAACACGAAGTGCAATCAGATCGACAGTTAAAGCATATTTCTATTGCTTTACGCTTTACCGTTTTCGCAATCTTGACCCGTGAACCCAGAAGCACATAAACATCGATATCGTTTTCTTGTGAATCCTGACTGACAGGTGGCGTTGTTTTCACATGGAGCTCGAGCACAAAAATTCTTCAACAAAAGCAAAAGACAAAAACAAAAAAAACACACAGAAAAACATAAAAATAGAAAAGGTAGCTTTTCTAAGTCTTCAATGCATAATTCTCTATTAGAAATTAACGTGGGAAGCTTGAAAGGGTTGTGCAGCTGCTCACATCCTCCAGAAAATCGAGAAGGTGCATATTTAGTCAGGCTATTAAAGGCTTAAGTGTCTATTCCAAGAATAGCATTTGATAACCTCTGTCATATCTCATTCAAATGATCTACGCATAGTTTGTAGAGGGGACTACCAACTATGATCTACGGGTAGATTCTTAAGCACTTTTGAGTCATGAGATTGATCTCAGTAATTAAATTGTTTCCCAACCCTTATATATTAAAGATTAAGCACCTTTGTTCCGTGGTACACGAAGTTCGCTGCTTTCACCAGATCCTTTTCGTGTTCTCTACTCGTTGAGTTGTTCAGTTCACAGTTGTGTGTTTCTGCTTCATTTTGTCCAAAATAAAAGTTGATACTGACGCAGTTATGGTCTAAGTAGCAGCGATATTCACACGTATCCCTGTCAATCACACTGATGTTTGCCATGGTGTGGTTAAAAAGACGTTCTCCCACGAAGAACAGAGTGGATGGAAATGCTAAGATACGGCATTGATCTAAAAAGTTGTACGACTCAAATTTTAAATGTGAAGCGCGTTATCAATGTTCTTTTTGGTTCTCACTTTATGTTAAGCTGGCTGTTCCGGGTAAATGAGATAAGTAGTGCCTGTACATATAATACACGAGAAAGCTTTCATCACTCTCAATTCAAGATCTTTTGCCGAGATTTTCGCGGATTTTGGCTGCTAACAACACCGAAAAATTCGCATGATCGTGATAGCGACGTTCAAAATTCTCTAGAAGCGGAAGGAAACCACTATATGATTAACAAAATAATACATGGTCGCTTGTAGCATAGTTAGTAGAGGTGGGATTTCGCTGCGCTCACTCGCGAGACATCGAGTCGAACACTCGAAGGGAAATTTCATATCTACGTGCGCCTATGTATTATTCTCTATTTTGTTTTTTAGGACAAATCACCGAATATTGAATGAATACTTTGAAAAATGTCCTTTGAAACTGCTATTTTAGGTTAAGATCCTCCCTTCGCTTTATTGTGCATTGGTGTTGTGATATGTTAATGAAGGGTTGTGAGTGTCACTATGTTACTTCACACCTTCAGAGGCGAGAATGTGTTTTTTTTTTTTATTGGACTAGATTAAAATTTTACATCTTACCTAACGGTTACAAAAGGAAAATTTTAAAATCTAAAAAGCGCCTCACCTGTTTAGGAAGACGTATTTTCAAATAAAAGTTAATCAATCAGGAGAGCGTCGCAATCTCGTAAATGGACGAACCCTTGGCGGAATATTCCCGGAAATTTCAAGTTATTTACATGTTTTGTTTACACCGCGCACTTGAGAAAATTCACACCTGGAAGTTCTCTGCTGGTGGAAAGTGTTCTCAGGGATGCAAAAAAAAAAAAAAAACAAAACAAAACAAAAAAAAAAACAGAAATCGAAATTAGAGAGGAGTCCCTGGGCAAAAAAAGAAAACAGGCCCAAAGAAGAGAGAAATGGCGCCATTTTGTCAAGAAAGAAAACAGTCTTGGCACTCCTTTACAGGCTGGCAGCCAAATTGCGAATAAAGAAGTCGCCATCCAACCTACATTTCTAGTAAATAAGGTTAAAAACGAAGTTTCCTTTCAATAGGCAACTACCAGCCTTGAGACAAAACGTAGGCAATCGCCTCGAATCGTATGAAAGCATGAATAAACCCACCCGAGGGAACTCATCTCAGCGATAGGGCACTTAAGCTGTCTGTCGATTTGCTGTTTTGCTTTTCAGCAGTTTCTCGTGCTTTACCTTTTTCGCCGTAGGTTTTCCTTTGCCAATTTTTCCCGTTACTCAACGCTCAACAGAGCGAAATAAAAAAACGTGAGTGCTATACGTTACTTTTCCCGTGAAAATCTTGATGCATCGCTTTTGACGCCAGGAGGTCCCGTCTTCCCATTGGTTCGCGGTTTCAGGAGACGAGATAATCTCTTGGTGTAGCACGAGTTGTTTATAAATCTTCAGGAGCTAAAATCTTGTATTGATTTTGAGAGGAATAGATCCACTTCGAGCGAATTTATAGGGTATGTGGATTTGACCGATTTTCGTCAAACCTCGCCGAAACATCCCGGTGATAATGACGAACGAAAGAGTGTGTCTATTTACGCAACACGTTTCGCATATTTTACGCTACTCTAACCTTAGATGCGGATATCTACACAACCAATCAGAATATCGGAAAAGCTTTACACACCTTTGCTGATTGTGCCTCATGAATAAGACTGTGCAGCCATTTTGCTCGTGCTGCGGGATCCGATACTCGATAGATTCAATAGAAGGACCCTCGGTCGTTTCACGCCTTACCGGCTCGTGACGCTCCCTAGATGAAATAATCACCTAAACTATATTTTTATCGCAGACCGCAATTATTAAGCTTTCTTTTGATTAATAGTTTGTTAGGGTTTTCTTGAAATTAGGGCGCATACGAATTTTTTTCCCGAAGGACACCCGCGAAGGTGGGAAGTAACCTTAACTCATCTATTTGTCAAGCGAGATTTTATATTACCAAATATCGAGATTCTTGTTAATTGGTGATCTGGCGAAAACTTTAAAGATTTTTTTTTTTTTTTAAGGAGTCTAGTCCAGATTTAGTTTTGTAACTTCAAAGACAGTTTTAATCGTTTGTATTTTGTTCTGCGGTTTCGTTTTACACTGAATTAAAACCCCTCTAGACGTAAGCCCCTCTGTATGCTTTATTTGAAAAATATTCCAGCACAAGTTAAAATTTTAATCCCAGCGGACCGCCGCTAAATGCCTTTCAAAGAACCGGGCCCGGAAGAAAGGCAGCGAAAATTAAGATGAGTAGATAAATAGCGAATATTCTACTATAAGATGTGAATATAAGATGTGTCGAGAATAGTGAAAAAGTATCGAGGGTATTTTTGCACTTTCATATTTTTGCGAATAAAAGATAACCACGCATTAAAATGGACGAAGAATTTTCTTAGCCATTTGTTAATCAGGCTTCTCGAGACTAGAGGTTTCAATCTTTAACAGATTAAATTTTAATTTCTGTATCTAAAAGTTTTAGAGGACACGAAGAAGCAAAAACAACTTACCATCTGGGCAGGATAAAACTTGTTTTAAGAAAAGAACCAAACAGATGAAAAACAAGTGAAGCGAAACTCCCATGTCCTCAAAAACCAACAAAAAAGGTATATTTTAGATGTTCGCAACCTAAGGACCAAAGCGAGGACCTTTACAGCAGTTTGTGGACTCCAATATAACAGCAGTTTAACGCTACACCTTATAAAATAAGTTAGCCAATTATAATTGAATAAGTTAAAGATATTTTGCTGCATCGTCACGGAAGGTGTTAAATTATTTAAAGCGTAAAGAAATCGTTTTTCTCTTCAGGCAGTTATTATTGCCTTTTACTCGCTTTCCCTAAGGCTTAAGGTCACTTCTGTTATCTGTTTCAGTAATATTTAGTAGGATGAGAAGAAAAGAAACTTTCGTTTAAACTCTGTGAAATATAAGCGTATAAAAGGCCTTAGAATGTGCTCCTTAAAGGTTTCACTATGCAAAATCTATAGCATTCTTTTAGTCTTCAACCTTCCCGCTCAGTTTTTGCGAGATTTGCAAACGAAATTTTTTAAAAACATCGCTTCACTAAAAACGTGCATTTGTTAATTTTCAGACCGACAGATCAAAAGTGCAACTATGGAAAGCTTATTATGCCTCTCCACAGAAAACTCCATCACTTCATTTTACGTTTAATGGTTCGAAAACTAACGTGTTCGTTCCATGAACTCTCGACTTATCGATACCATTCTTTACACCGTAAGTTTTCGTTCCATAAGCCAATAACAAAGTTCCCTTGACAAACCAAAATAAATTTCAAATGCATGTGTCTAAATAGAGATACCAACTTAACAAGATAAATATAGTCAAGTGCTCTCATTTGTTCAAAGAACTTGATTAATAGCTCAAATTCAAAACTTTTCCTTTTCCACTGCGTAAATACATAAAATTCCTTTCAGTGCGACCGCGTGGCTTTTCAAAATCTTGGGAGTAACTTCGAAAATATGAATGGATTTCCAAAATTCTTGCCGACTGGATGACATTGTGAAAACTAAATATCTTAGTGGATCTACAAGAGAACGTCTAGTAATGGTTCAGACTATAAGCAGGGAAAATTCAGATACGTTAAGAAATAGCGAGATTTGCTCCTTCATAACAAGAAATTGTGTAAATAGTTGTAAAATATAATGAAAACGAATCGAAACTCTTTACTGGAATAAATTAAGAAAAAATAATCGAATGGAAGAGAAGTTTTGCAGCCATCAGGTCAGTCAAGCCCCTACATTCTAAAAGTTTCCGTTTTTTAAATTTTGTACTTCACTTTGGTTTTTTTGTGAAATGCAGAGCTAAGAAATTTAGGAGAATAAAAATATGTCAATTTTCAAAAAAGAAAAGATAAACCTACGTTTGGACAGGATAACTCATATTTAAAGGGAAAAACCACTGAGATGAAAGGCAAGAGGAGTACAAGTCTCATTTCCACAACGACAAGATAAAGCCAAATCTCTTTTGTTAGAGAGCTAATGACGAAGGAAGGCAAGGAGCTTAACAGCACTTTTTTTTACTGAAAATATGCCACCAGTTTAAAGCTGAATGGTGGGAAATGTTTAAAGCTAGCCCCCAAAGGTAATTTGAACTTAATACGATGCTGGCAAATGAAAACGAGCCAAGATAGAGATCCTTAGTTCCCCAGATTATGTGGGGGAGTTCTCTTTCCTGTTTAACTGACGAGAATCCAAACCTCGAGTTCTAGGTGAATACACTAACTTTCTTTTCCAGTGTGTGAAGTTTTTCGTACCTGTTATCTCTTTCTTGAGTGCGTACGAACCCTTAACATGCCAATGAATTTTATTCTTCGTACTTTTTGGATTTTATTTCAGTATTTAAGTAAAGACGTCAGACAATTGGCAGCGAAGAAATAAGGTGAATCAATAAATAACGAGGATTTTTGAGTCATGAGAAGATACTTTGCAAATACAAGTTTAAGAATAGTAACAAAAGAGAAAAGAATCGAGAACGCTTTGTGTCAATTTGTCAACGAGGCCTCTATAAACTGAGAAACTTGGTTTTTAAGCTCTTTAGAGTAAACTGAAAAACCTGAAAGAAAGTATAGGGGAATAAAATCTACGATCTGGGCATAATAAAACTCGTGCAAGGGGAAGAACTAAGACGATGATAAACAAGTGGAGCGAGACTTTCATGTTCTCGAAATTAACTGAAAACAGGAGCCCATGGGATGGGCTCCTACCAGGGCGCGTAGGCACGGTTTTGAAATTATTGTGAGATTAGTTAGCGACAAATTCGAAATAACACGTGCTAATAATTACGTAATAACGTGAAATAGAAACAAAAGGGAGAAGCAAAAAGTTAGACATTAAAGATTCTTGTTACGTGTAAACGTATTTAGGTCAGGGACGAGCAACTCAATCAGATGAGCATTATGGAAAAGTTGTAGACTTTCCTATGACGGTGCAAGTACAAGCCAGGATAAGATAAATTAATAAGCACTTGATTCTAAGAATTCCTTCTTCTGTTGTTTTGTTTCGCCAGGTACTCCTTTCATTCCTTAGTTAGTTTAGATAGTAAACAGGTCTCTAATTTTGTCCATTAGAGCGACAAAAATGCACTGCACTACAGGTGGTAGCCCCACTTTGTTCTAGGAAGGGGTGTCGATATTGGAAGCACCACAATCTTAAATACCTTTGACGGAAATAGATTTACCAAGCCGCGAATAATCTTAACGCGAATGTAAACGTAATTCACTTGACAATTGTATGTCAAACTTATAAGTGGAAAACAATAGAAAATTGTACATTGCTAGTTTTATTAACACCATACGTAAATGAATGACATTGGTTACTGTTACGGAAAATCATATTTTAGAGTCAGCTTTGTATAAAGCAAAGATTTTGCATACATTCTTGGGAACAGCAAAAATGACTTAGAACAAACATTCTAAGTGGGGTGTTTATTCCGTGTAATGCGGCATAAATAAAAGTTCGGGTAAAAAAGACACCCTAGGATCAGGCATTTAACTTTTTACGGGGGGGGTGATTTCTAGTCATCAAGAAATTTTTTTTCTAGCAATCTACTGGGCAGGACATTTTTTTCCGTTCTAAATACTCTGCAGGATATGTTTTCTCTCCCGATTTCTCTGTAGGATTTTTTCCCCTCCATTATAATAATGCTGAAGATAACTAATAATGCATTGCATGTATGAAGCAATCATCTTTCAGCATTATCAAAAGGAGCAAGTTGCAGTTTTGCTGCGATTTTGTAAAGCCCCCCGGAATAATGAAAGACTGAGGTGTGCAACATTTCTTTTTCTTTCTTACAGCAACGCAAGAGTTTTTTTTTTCTGTTACACGTGGGCTGTACGCAATGTTTTTCTTCCAACAAGAGTTTGCATGAAATTATTTTCAAAATCACCCACCCACCCCTCCCCCTCAATTTCAATGGTCGGCCCCTTATTTTACGCCACAGAAGACAGGCAAAAAATCATATGGGTACCCCGGTTAAAATAAATCGATAACTCTATTAATTAATACCAGTTATAACTTTAAAAAATTAGAAAAATTAGGAAAATTTATGGTAATAAAATAAAAGTAGTCCGTACTGCGAAGCATGCCTTCACAGTTTAGACCGAGAGTCTTAAAGCTCTTTAAACATGTATTCGAATATCTAATGACGATAAGCCCACCACCCACCCCACCCCGTTCTGTTTCCACTCTGTGGCTGGTAAGCGGTCACGTTTTTAAGTGGTAAAAATGGCGATCGCTTCCTGATCACCATTCTTGTCGATCAGAAAATCAAAATGCCAGCGTGATACTACCTAGATGATGAAGCAGTTGTGTTGTGTGATTCGTACTTCACATTTGAGTCGAAGCTTAGGTGACACGGGTTATTTCTTGCGGTGGAATCGACGAGGGGAATTCGAACGCTAGTTGTAGTGTTGGAAGAAATGGTCGCATAAGGATGTAGGAATGGTAAGGTTAACAAACAATATCAAATTTTGCTGCTTGAATTGAAAGTAAAGTTAATTTGAATTGCTTTCGTACATATTTCGGACGGTTTTAGATCTAACTGCTCGATTTATGTCTGCAATGCTTCATGTTGACAATTCCCTCAAAATAGCGGCCAAACTTGCAGAAATTCAAGTAAGTTCCCGGAGTTACAAAGTTTCCACAAAAGCCGGGCCGCAAAGTTTTTTTATGTAGTTAACTTTTCTATGGCATCTACCTCCTAGCTATGTTAGTTGGATCAGTTAAGAACGCCTCACTTTTTCAAAAATTTACCTTGAATTTGATCGGTTTTCACGCGTGTGACTGGCATAGGTGAGGGCATAAGAGAGAAAAGTTTGTTTTTAGGTTGTGACATAGAAACATAATGCTGGTAGGTCCATAATCCATAGCTAATTAATTTACTGCTCGGCCACACCTAATTCAGTGAATAATAATTTTTTTATATGACTACTACTCCTTCTCTTCATTCCTTAAATGTGCATTATGTAATTCACAGTGCTGTACTGAGGGATGCAAGGTTTTTAAGATCCAGCCTCTGTGCTCTTGACCTTCTTTTCTATGCATATTGTTGCATTAAAATGCAAGAGTAATAATTTTTCTTTCCGAGAACTTAGAGTCGGTTTTCACTATTACAAGATGCAGATCCGGTTGTTTGCAATTATTTTCTCAAGGGTTCAAAACTGTATCTTTTGGATACTCTATAATTGTAGCTAAAAACAACAGTTTAAGACTGTTGATGTTGAGGCTCATGTTAAAATTAGCTGTTTTCTGTTCCAGACCAGTTTTATTTGCATATCAGTTGGCTAGAAAATGCATTTTCCAAATTCAATGCAGCATCGAAATTAAAATTGAAAATTTAAACTGAAAATTTGAACATCTGTTTTAAACAATTTTACCTGCTTGTATGTTTGTCATTAATTATCAAGAACTTTAACCGAGTGGAGTCCCTTTTTTTTGGAAAATCTAAGACTTAGACGTTTAGAGAAAAAAGTCGAACATCCTTTGAACTGCAGACAGTTACAATTCTTCAAGTCTAGTAGCATGTTCACAAAGGTAAAATAATAAGGAACGTTCTGTTTTGCAATGCTGAGAGCATCTGTGGCATGTTAGAAAATAAATAACATTGGCTTTCTGTGGTAAAAGAACAGAA